GGTGTCCCTGTAGAGACACGGGGCGGGGGGACGGCTGTGGGGAGCTGCAGGCAGCAAGTCAGCACACCTGACGTAGGACCCTCAACCAAGGTAATGGCAAGAACACAGGTTGAACAGGAAGGAGAGACCAGACTGTGAAGTGTTAAGAAGCACTGACTTTACCTAGTGGTGTTTTGGAAACAGATTCATGCAAAAGAAAAATAACCTGATTTTTAGCATTTGCTGATTTCCATGGTGTAAATATTTCCACCCTGGCTGATTTCCAGCTGACAGATCACAAAGTCCTGAGTATTTTAAAATCAGCTTATTGATTTTATCCCATTCTCAGAAAATGGGCTGAAACAACTCCCAGATTTCTCAGGAGAGTGACACAGTAAAGGAAAGCCTGCGCAGATAAGCTCCACTTGGTAGCAGCAGAATGGAAATGGCAGAGTCTGGAGCTGGGAAGACATCCTGGAATTTTATTAAAATAATCCAATTGTGAGTTTAATGAGGCAGCTGATCACAATACAAATTACAGAAAAATAGAAGGGACAGAGGAGATATATTTAGAAAGAAGGACCACGTAGACTTGATGGTGAAAGGAACGTAAGGCAGGGGGGACAGTAAATGATCAGGTTTCTAAGTCCAGCTGATGGGGTGCGATGATGCATCACTGATGTGGAAACAGGGTACACGGTGCATTTTACTACTGCTTTAAACAAGTAATTAGTTTTCACTCTGAAAAGCACCACCAAGAAGCAGGGGTATGTATAGTACTTGCATTTGGGGGACCATAGCCTGAGGCTGATCCGTGGAAGACCACCTGGGCAGCCAGGAGCCTTGTGAGGCCTGGAAGTCCCAGATATTCCATCATGAATAATTCTCAGAAAAAGAAACGTGCAAAGGGGCCTGGAACAGCTACGCACATACACGCAGGCTCACAGCACTCTGCCCTGAAAGATTACGACTAGCAGAACTCAGAAATGTCAAGTAAGGACTTTCAATAAAACTAGAAACCACCCACTGGCTCTGTGGTGTAATTCCCCTTGCTACGTAAACCATAGACAGCCTGACCTTTGCTAGCATGGGAGTGGGGAGAAATTTTTGCAGATTTACCAGGGTGGAGTGTTTTCCTTAATCATTCGGTAGAGCTGATAGGCAACACCAATCACTGGCACATCGCACTGGTGCACACTTTTACCTGTCCAAAAGTACCCAGCACAAGAAAAGGCGCAATTGCTATGGGACCACTGGTGAAGCCAACCTTTGAGCATCAGTCTCAAAAACAGAGTCAGTTAGCAGTGCACCAGCCCTCACACTAAGGACCCAAGGCAACCTACAGAGGAGTGACGAGCCGCAAGGCGCAGGTGATGGATGCCTGTTAAATGACTCAGTCGGGTGGAAAAGGAAGCTCACTTACAGTGACAGAGCAAGAGACTCTCCAAATATAAGGGATCAGATGCCAGGAAAGGTGGCCAAGCCTACATCCCGGGGCTCTGGCTGGGTTCACTGTCCAGGGCCCGTTAGCTGGTCTCCCACTTCTCACAGGAGGCAGAGAGGTGGTGGGGCTGTATGTCAGTGTCAAGTTTCAGCCCCTGTAGGACAGATCCCTTACCTTCAGACAGGGACAAATCATCAGCTGGAGACACCAGGTCTGCCTGAGAAGCTAGGGCTCCGCTCAGATGGGTTGTAATTTGATTCGTCAAGATAACCTGTGAACAGACAGGGAGAAGGTGGGGGGAAAGGGAGAAGAGAGAAGACCAAATTAATTATTAGAGCTATCAAAAGGCAGACTGTGGCTTAGGGGAAGACTGATAAGTACACAGGTAGGAAAACCCCAGCTCTGACTTTCATCAATTTTATCAGTAGGCCAGAATATCTGGCAAAGCCCACAGGTCATTTGAAACACAGAAAACGGAGCAAATGGGCTGACTTTCTTTCAGAGCTTAAACCACTAATCGACTCTTCCTCAGTGCTGAGTAAGTTGGGACTGAGAGGTGATGTCATATTAGCTGAATAATAGAAGGCCAACCAGAAAATTAATATGCGTGTGTACACATTTTATGAAACTTCCATTTTTAAGATTATATCCATAACCCTAGTCACTAGTGCTGAATAAAAGCAGTAATTTAAAATCTGGATGCCTGTGGCTTCTTCCCTTATTAAGTCAAAAGTCAGAGTTTTTTATTTCCAAATTTATGAAATTAAAATAAGATTCATCCCTAAAGGAATTAACACTCTCCTTTTGAATTAATAATAGTCTAACAAAAGAATTCCAGAGTCTCACTATATATTTAAAACACAAACTAATATCCTACCTATGCAAAATAAAGTTCATAACACTTAAAATTCTTAGAAAATACTCTAAAATTACCTAATTCACGTGGTCTACTGCCACACCATATTTTCACATTTGGTTCAGTCAAAACCATTATTTCCCTTTAAAATTCTCACTTATAAAATTTACTCTATTGTTTAGAAACCTACAGGAAGAATGAGATACAAATTCTCTCCTGGAAAACTGCAACGTCACTGATCATTTCCCGAGGTTTGGGTGTTCCCACCATGGATCGAAAGAAACCGTGAGCGCCGGGCTGGTGTGGCTCAGCAGTTGAGCACCGACCTATGATCCAGGAGATCGTGGTTTGATTCCCAGTCAGGGCACATGCCTGGGTTGTGGGCTCGATCCCAGGGATCATGCAGGAGGCAGCAGACTAACGACTCTCTCATCATTGATGTTTCTACCCCTCTCTCCCCCTTCCTCTCTCTGAAATCGATAAAGACATATTTTAAAAGAGAGAGAGAAAGAGAGAAAGAGAGGGGGGGGAAGGAAGAGAGGGAGGGAGGGAGGAAGAGAGAGAGAGAGAAAGAGAGAGAGAGGGAGAGAGAAAGAAAGAAAGAAAGAAAGAAAGAAAGAAAGAAAGAAAGAAAGAAAGAAAGAAAGAAAGAAAGAAAGAAAGAAAGAAAGAGAGAGAGAA